CCAGTTGGGATCAAAAGAAGTCAATCAGTGAGTGTGACCTCAAACAGCCACATGGAATTATATGTAGGTAGAGGTTTGGGATCGGCCGATATCGCAGGGCGTATCCTCGAAAGCAACAATTTACTGCTACCTGCTACATACATAGATACAGACAAAAGAGATTCCATCATTACAGCACGAGTAGTCTAATAGCTAGGGTTTGGGTTTTAAATATAATAAACCGTAAACCTAATTCAATTACTCAACCTTGAAATGTAGACCATGTGACGGCTGATGAGGCTCATAATGGCGGGGTGCATAACTACCAGCGGGGCATAGTCATAGTTTAAACATAACCTCACCTGAGTCACTTTCATACATTTGTGACTACCTACCTACAACCTCACTCTCAATCTCAACCTCATCCCTCCACCTCGCCACTAAAAATGTCTCTCACAAACGCCTCCCCCGAGGCTGCAGCTAGCGCCGCAAAGACAGCATCCTTCACTCTCGCAACCCTCCCAGCCAGCGAGCGCAACAATGCACTTGAAGCCATCCACGCTGCTTTGACGGCCTCAAAAGACGACATCCTCGCAGCCAACGCCAAGGATCTTGAGCTGGCAAGGAAGGCTGCTGACGAGGGTAGTCTCAGCCAGGCTCTTGTGTCGCGATTGGATCTCGGAAAGAAGGGAAAGTGGGAGGATATGCTTAAGGGAATATTGGATGTGAAGGATCTGAATGACCCAAGTAATTCAACCGTCATAAGACCATAAGACTTGTGGAGCTAATACTATCTCAGTTGGCCAGATTCAGATGAGAACAAAGCTCGATGATGATCTCATCATGGAGCGTGTCTCATGTCCCATCGGCGTCCTCCTCATCATTTTCGAGGCCCGTCCCGAAGTCATCGCCAACATCGCTTCTCTTGCTATCAAGTCTGGAAATGCTGCCATTCTCAAAGGTAATGCCATGAATTATCTTCAATGTCACAATATCGGCTTATTTGCTCACTCTTATCTCAGGCGGGAAAGAGTCTACAGAGTCCTTCGTGGCCATCTCAAAAGTCATCTCATCAGCTCTTGAGACCACAAAGGTCCCCAACTCAGCCATCCAGCTCGTCACAACCCGCGACGTCATCTCCCAGCTCCTCGCCCAGGACCGCTATATTGATCTTGTCATTCCTCGTGGGTCGAATGAACTTGTTCGTTACATCAAGGAGTCCACAAAGATTCCCGTTCTAGGCCACGCTGATGGTCTCTGCCATATCTACTTGACAGCCTCTGCCAATAAGGAAAAGGCTATTACTGCTATTGTGGACTCCAAGACAAGTTATCCTGCTGCCTGCAACGCTGTCGAAACCCTTCTCGTGCAGGAATCGGCTCTGAATACCATATTCCCTGCTGTTGCATCCGCTCTTGCGGCCAAGGGGGTTTCCCTCCGAGTCGATGAGCCCAGCAAGGCTGCCATTTCTTCTCTTTCACTGGAAGGTGTTCAAGATGCCACTCCCCAAGACTATGACACCGAGCATCTATCTCTCACCATTGGCGTAAAAACTGTTTCCTCTATTGATGAGGCCATCAACCACATCAACACCCACGGCTCTCATCACACTGACGCTATCATGAGCTCTGATTCTGTCGAGGCTGAACGTTTCATGAACGAGGTTGACTCAGCTGGTGTATACTGGAATGCCGCTACTCGTCTTGCCGACGGCATGCGTTATGGTTTCGGTACCGAAGTTGGTATCAGCACAAACAAAATTCACTCTCGTGGTCCAGTCGGCCTTGATGGACTGACTATTTACAAGTACAAGATCAGAGGCGACTACCAGGCTACTGCTGAATATGGAGATGGAGAAGGCAAGAAGCCCTGGAAGCACGAGAAGTTGTCCCTTTAGACAACTGCTTGCAAGAAGAAAAGAAAAGAAGAAAAGTCGACGGCATATCACGGAGGCGTTGGGTAAAGTTTAACAGCTATAAAAATAGCAGGCTGTTCAAGTCACGGTTTCAACACAATTATAGCGATCCTTTGTTCTACTGCATTTGTCTCATTATTCTATGTTGTGCAAATATTGACCCAGTAGCGAAAGTCTGTCTTCATCAGACTTCGCAGAAAGTGTTTCGATATATCCCCCGAAGCACATGTTTTAGTCAGCCGGCACTCCAACGATTCCAATTTGAGAATTCGTAAGCAAATCATAGCGAGGTGTTCTCGTACTGCTTGATCAACTCATCAAGCTTGGTGCCTTCAGACTTGAAGTCCAAGGGGGTGACAGTCATCACTTGGTAGCGTATCCTACAAACCCGGCATTAGTATTTGGTTGAGGATGAGCATGATCGTCCTGCTTACCTTTGAGCTTCGCCAAAGTTGTCCATCTTAGCCCTGCATCGGAAAGTGAACTTCTTGCAGTTAGCCTCTTCAAAAGCGGCCATGAATTTATTGTCATCGTTTTCTTTGAGCTCCATCATCTCGTCGGCAGTTCGTCCCACGATCTGTCGACCAGAATCGTCAAAACAACTCAGCCATTGATGACTGGTGTGATCCGCAACGTTCAAAGAGAGGATGTACCGGTATTCCGGTTTTTCGTGAGAGATAGCACACTTCTCGCAATGCCAGGTGCCATCAGGCATTTGCGTAACCTTCTTATTACAGCCCTGAGATAGGCAAGCGGGATAGCAGAAATTCTCCTGCTTGACAAAGACAATAGTGGCCTTGATAGTGTAGTAGGCCTGATCATCCATGCCAAGGTTCTCATCCTTGACCTGAGCAATGGTCTTGAGATCTTCCTTTCTCCCTGTAGCATTGCCCACAGACGCCATGTTTTGGTGGGTGGCAAATGTGTCATTGCGGCCAGCAGAGTCGTACCAGCCCTTGAGTCTATGAGCATCAGGAATATCGGGATCAACGGTCATTGTGCCAGAAGAGAGTAGACTGAGACTCTTGCCACCGAAATCAGACACCTTCGTGCCCTTGAAAGCAACCACTGATTCAGGAGGAGCATCGAAAGAGTTGGCCGACTTGCCCCAAATAGTAACACGAACCGAGAAGCCCGTATCATCCACAAGTGTTAATTCTCGCTTCTGGAATGGCCGGCCATCCTTCTTGGATGTAATATCTCCAACCTCGCCAACCTCCTTCAACACACCAATGACATCGACGGTATTGTCCTTCTCCACACTCTGGAGTTCCTGGATGGAGCAGAAATTGAACCTCACCTGCGGAACATTGGTCTGATCCTCTGCCTTCTCGATGACAGTGTCCCGTTCGAAGGTGAGCTCGTAGTCGTTGGTAAGGTTGGAAAACTGTTTCTTGGCTAAGGCAACTCGGCAAGGTGTGGAGATGTAGTAGACAGAGCCTTCCTGCAGGCGGTCGTAGAAAGCGTCACACTGGTCGTTGAAACCAGTGGCCTTGATCTCACCGCTCTCATCGAGCAGGTTGACACTGAAAAGCTTTCCCTCACCAGTGGCCTTGTGCCATGTCTTGATATCTGACTTGGAGGTAACTCGGGCCTTGATTGTCCACTTGTGGGCGAAGGGCGACAGACCCTCGATAGGGTAGATGTTACTGCCAGCGTGGTTGGCAGGTCGTGAGGGCATCGACTGTTGTTGCTGCTGTTGAAATTGCTGGGGCTGTGTCTTTGACTCTTCCTTCTTAACGCCGTAAAAATCGCCTCCAGCAATGGCACCCTCTTGGGCCGCTGGCTTGGAGTCGACGGCAAAGGGCTCGCCAATCTTTTCTTGGACGCCAAGAGATTCGATGACTTCGATATCGAGAATGACGAGAATGCTATATAGTATTAGGGGCGTCCGATAAAGTCTGGGGAGATACATACTTCTTGCCCTTCAAGTTATTGGGTGTGTATTGCTTGATTCGGGCAATGCAACCACGAACAAGCTTGTTGTCGTGAACGACGTGGTTGGCTTGCGTAGCAAGCATGGTCTGAACGTAATGCTGCCCATCGCTCATCACAAGTCGAAATCGGTCTCCCCCTTGGGCCGAAGGGGCCATCTGCTTAACTTGTAGACACTGCAGAACAGGTACCGGGAAGAGCTTGCTGGCTTTATCAGGATCATTGAAGATCACGCTGGGCAAAAGTTAGCAACCAACGACAGGAAGGTTAGGTGATAAGAACATACTCAAGAGCGCCTCGAGATAGCGCCGAAGCTGCGTCCATGTTTATTGTTCTTACGTGTCTTTGGGGTGGGTTGTGTATGCTGCTGAAACAGAGAACTCTTCGTTTTGTTCTAGGTGAGAAGTATAGTGCATTAACGAGAAGGTGTGGAAGACGCGTTCAGCGCGTTGAGTGAAACGCGCTGTGGCAAGAATCGTGAGGTCGTTGTTTACGTAAGGTGTGGAGACAGTTGTGAAGGCACCTAACCTTAGGAGCTAAGGTACTGACTGTCCCTGGATATTCAAACATTGGGTACCTTACCTTACTCCGTACCTAGAGAGCAGGTACTTTAAAGACCTTGGGTTCATATTTCTAGCTCATTTATTCCGTCCTATTAGCGATGATATTATCTTGTAGCTGATGAAGGTATCTCATGGCAACACATTGTGGCCTTTTTGCGACTACTGATTCACCAACCACTAGAGAGGAATGGACACAAATGCCAAGTTCCCATGCAGCATTGCTTTCTTGTTCGGGCTGCTATGAAATCTATCCTCGCCTAGTAACGGAGAGACTGAGAATTAAGCCATCTCTAAATCCGTAGTGTATCATAAGATCATACATCCCACGCCAACAGCAACAACTACCTAGTAGCCAAGGGCCTGGAGGGCAGAGGATTTGCTTCTCGTTTGCAAGGAGATCTCTAACCTTAGGCAGTAGTTTCGTAGTACAATCCCATACATCCTGATAACAGTATTATTTCAGTATTCCAAGAGTTTTATGATATTATCCCTTTTTTTTACTCCTTCAAAGAAGTCCATTCTGGATATAGGCTTTATTTTTGGCATTTATAAACCTCTTGCCAGAGCAAGGCAAACAAAGTACCAGCTAAATCAGTTACCCCTCCAACATGACGTTGAGTTCCAGCCTGGACCTCGTTGGTACGTCAGATTGCCCCTCCACCTGCAACAGGTAGCATCATCTTCTTTCATTGCCTTTCAGCCCACGGTTCCACCAACCTACTACTACCCCAGCCAGAACACAGGTAAATAGAACTCGAGAAGTCTTTGAGGATGGCCGACGCAGATAACGCTACTCGCGCTCCTGAGAGCGACGCCCAGGAGACCCCTGCGGCCAGCGACAACATACAAGCTCCAGCCCCAGCTCCAGCCGCTGAAGCTCCAGTCGTAGGCGAACATTGTGTTTCTGACAGACCAACCCGTAGGTACCATCCAGAACAGCGTCATTCCAGATCGCTAACAATTGTAGCTTCGGGCCAGTCCTCCACAGGCGAAATCATCAAACTCAACGATGTCGATGTACGTGGCCTACAGGCTCACCAAGCTCTTAGCTGACCCTCCCTTACTTAGGTCTATGTTTCGAAACCCACCGACTACCCCCATGCCCCTTCACGACTCCTTCTCCTCCTGACCGGCGGTACGGGAATCAAATCTACCAACAACCAGATCCAGGCCGATAAGTTTGCATCGGAGGGCTATCTTGTCCTCATGCCAGACCTCTTCGCTGGCGACACAGCTCCTGGGGCCACAGCTATTACAGATGACTCCACATCCATCCTCGAGCAGTTCAAGTTGAAGGCCGTCGAAGTTACAAAATCATTTCTCATTGACATGTGGCTAGCCCGCGTCACAGATGAAAGGGTCATGCCCATCCTGTACAAAGTGATTGATGCTGCGCGGGAGCAGTACGCGGATACGATCAAACAGGGCGACGGAATCTATGCCGCAGGATACTGTGTTGGTGCACGATTTGTTCTTCTGCTTGCTAAACAAACGAAGACCCCTGAAGGAGATGCAGAGAGCGGTGGTGTCAAGAATGGTCCTTTTATTAAGGCCGGTGCTTTGGCACATGCTGCTTCTGTTACACCTGATGATTTCAAGGACATCAGTGTTCCTCTCAGCTTAGTTTGTGTGGAAAACGACCCTCTCTTCCCTGACAGCGTTCGGATAGGGGGAGAAGACAGTTTGTCTGACGCAAACGTCGAGCATGAGGTTCAAGTTTATCCAGGAGTTCCGCATGGTAAGATCTCCTTAAATTTAAATCTTTTTTATGAGTCATCTAATGATTTTTAGGATTCGCGGTTGTAGGCGAGTACCAAGATTCATCAATCAAGGATGCTCAAGCCACAGCCTATGACCAGATGATCAACTGGCTCAAGGCTCATTAACTTTTACCATGATACCTTTTGCTTTCTCCAATGTGGCGTGCAGGCCGCTGCAGTGATTTCTTTTTGTGCCTTTGTTGATTTGGTTGAACATAAGTAATTGATGGGGATTCTCACGGTGGGTGCAAGAAGATAGTCTACAATTTCCCACACCCAACGTACTAGTGAACTGTTTGATATCCATGCATTGGGGTTCAAATGGAAAGTCTTTCTGGAATGTGATTTTTTGGGCTAGATTCAAATGCCACATACTGTAGCCTGAAATCATTCTCTACCTTAGGAGATAGTGCATATAATCTTACCCAGGTTCTTGGCATCTTCCATATGTTTGTGGGCCTCTTGAATCTGTTCCCACGGAAAGACCTCATCCACAAAGATCTTAAGCTTACCAGACTCGAAGTCTGGTAGATACTGCTCCAATCGGTCCCGTAGCTCGCCCTGGTAAACCTCGTCGCGGCTTCGAAGAGTGCTGCCCTCAATACGAAGTCGCTTAAACAAGATCTGAGAAATATCAGCATTCGGGACCTTGGCACCGCTCAACGTTCCCAAAAGCACGATCCGTCCATCACGCGCAGCGACATTCTGGTTCTGCTGGAAGTAGTTTCCACCAACAAAGTCCACGATGTAGTCAACACCCTTGCCGCCGGTAGCTTTCTTGATCTCCTCCGCCCAGTCCTGTGTTTTATAGTTGAATGCAGCTGTTGCACCGAGCTTCGAAGTGATGAAGTCGAGCTTGTCCTGAGAACCAGCTGTGGCATACACTTCAGAGGCACCAGCGATACGTGACAGTTGGATGCCGGCAACCGACACTCCTGAAGCTCCTGCGTGCCACAAAATCGATTTGCCCTTCGTGAAGCCAAGCACAAGATGCAAGGCCTGAGTTGCAGTGATCCAAGCCTCGGGAATACCAGCACACGTGGTGAAGTCGATGGAAGCCGGTTTGTGTAGCAACATGCGAGTACTGACCGCGATGTACTCGGCATACGCACCACCATAAGCTAGCCCAAACACCTCATCGCCTTCCTTGAAAGCACCATGATCGCCAGGCCCAAAAGACTCAATGATGCCACTGAATTCCACGCCCAACGTCTTAGGCGCTTGAGGTGGCAGTGGGTAAAAGCCTCGACGCTGGATGATATCCATGCGGTTGATTCCAAAGGCTTTGATCTGTACAATTGCCTGTCCCTCAGTAGCAGAAGGCTTGGGCGTTTCGGTGTTGATGAAAAGGGCATCACGCTCGCCAGTGCCACCACGAATATCTGGGAGTAATGGTTAGTTGGTCGTCACAGACTTGAATTGGCATGTTGGCTTCATACCGACTGCCTTGATGTACTCGGACATGTTTTCTGTATTAAAAATGTTTTTTGATTGTTGAAAGTTGATTTTAATGGAAGAATGTTCAGCTATGAAGTCAGAGGCTCTGTGTAGAAGGCAATGCCCGCATTTCACATTGTCTGCACCGAGGCAATGACGTACATTACTAATACAACTTAGAAGACGTCAGTTGAAACTCCGGAGACGATGTTTGGCTTCCGCCGGACTTTCGGCCGGGAAAGTCTCCATAACAGAGACCGGCCCATTGTAAGTGGAATGCATCGGTGGGTAACGTTTAAGACATCTTTGCGTAACCAGACACATTTGAGAGTGTAGTAATGAGTTAACGACGACAGTGGTTGGTCCGCTGGCAGCGAACTCGATGATAACTTGAGAGTGTATAATAAAGGTTGATCGAAAATCTTTGAATTAAACTGGACTAAAGGATGGTCCGAGGCCGAACTATGCTAAGGTTTATGTTTTAATTCGACCACAAGTAGTTTATTGTAGTGCAGGAGGTCTTACCGTGGGAATAGTCCATGAGCATCTACACCAGGAGAGGGATCTAGATTCAGCTAAGCTAAGCTACGCATCCATTCATACAGAATGAGGATGCCAGTCGAACATGTTACAGTTTTCAATTAAAACATTAAAAGCAAAAGGGAAGGCGACAATTCTTGGGTTAAACAGGACCTGGCCACATGATAAGTAAGACCTTTCAGCCCAATTTCTTCTCCAACATCATAAAGTCCACGACTCTAACCTCCGAATCGACCAGAGACGGGTTCATTCGATTAGGATACGCACGCTATTAGATAGCTGATAGTAGATCAACGCGTTTGTCAATACTTCAACGATAACTCATCATGCCATCCGGAAACTCGGCAACGGGCAATATCGTCTGGCCGTTAACCACTATTAGGGTATAATCCAATAGTGGTCCAACATCTAAGTTAGAGACCAGCTACCAGGCCATGGAGAGCGACCTGCCTGCCAGCCTGGCTTTAGGTCCTCTTCCGCACTTCGAATCCGAGCCAAAAGTCCCGGCGATGGCAAATTAGCAAGCCCAATTATGATCGAGTGCAATTAAACTACCTATGTACATACCGTTAGCTAGAAGTCACCACTTGGACGGTCCGCGTTTTGGTGTTATCGACTATGGGCTAACTAAGTTAATTGAGTACCGACTACTGAGTGGACCTAGCAAATGAGGTCTTCCTGGTTGTCTGGGCGAGTAATATAAAACAAATCAGGCGAATTCTACGCGCCAACATCAACAAAACAACAAGACAGCTTTGGCGTTTGTTTTTAAGTGCTAAATCGAAACAGATCGAAATTTTCAACATGCAAAACCACCAATCTAGTCAAGCCACCGTAGCGAGCGTTGCAGTGGGATAAATTCAAACAGTTAGAACGAAACAGCCGACATGGATGATCTGACGACCAAGACAAGTGGTGGAAATGAAGTCCGGGTATACCTTTCCGAATATTATCACGGAGCCAAGCAGATTTGGGTGGCCAGAAACTTTACCACTGACAAGCGTCTTAATACGTCTCACTCGATACATACTGGAAGTGGGCTTGAGAGGCTTGCGGGAGATCCAGCGCCTTGCTTGGGGTGTGAGCGGGAAGAGACGTAAAGGGATGGTGAAAACTCTTGGCATACCGTTTGGGAAATGTAGACAAAGACTCAGGCATGAGGTTAGAGCTTAAAGAAAAGAACCTTGATCAAAGAGAGTTTCGGGCCAGCAAACCTACATGCTGCATACATAGCAATAGGCTACATCCGCTGCGTTTGTTGAAGATACAGGAACTGATCGTATGCCAAGCTTTCGATTCCTCCATGGTACGCCTCGGATCGCATCGATCAGAGGACCTGGCCTCGCTTAGCTTTATTACATAGATTAGAAGGCGGTCAAAAGCTTGTCGTTGGCCATAAAATACTACAGTACCCGATAACCCCTGGGCGCTGATTCTCATTTCTGTGGACTCGAGACGTGGGTCGCCATCTAAACTTACCACAGTGATAGTCGAAACTAAGACAAGACAGAGCTACCGAACCGAAAGACCCCATCGAGAATCCATGACTCGAAAGAGGTTGATGGGGAAAATACGAGACAAGGATGGTGCTTTCGATACTCAGTTTGGAACCGATTCGCCTCGCCTTGTATCAGGGGGATTCGCCTCGATTGAAGTCAATGCTGACTGACCTAAAAGCCAGGGGAACGGACAAGCCCTCATCATCCTCATCTTCAATCAAAGATAAGGCACCGAGATGCTAAAGGTGTTCAGGCTGTCTGATAACTAAACTGTGTTTTAGTGGTTCAAAGGGAAATTATGGAGGGTTGCTAACAGACAGAACCGTCGAGCCGCCTTATCGTCGGTTCTTTTCCCATTGGTGATATCTTGCTGGATGATCTTAGTTTGCTCACTGAAAGGGATCAGCAAGTGCTACCTACTCCGTAGAGACTGGTGGGTATGTAGGTTGGTAGGCTCGATCTGACATGACAAGGGAGCTTGTATGTGTGGATGGGTGTCAAGACCCGACCTCGAGACGGATGCGACTGTTTTGAAGCACTCACGAGGGACAACACGGAGTAGCCTGAAGAGGAAAGTCGACAGACTTCGACTCCGTTGCCAACTCAGGATCTAGTCCACCTCTAGGGCATCGAATGGACAGCTAGAAAATGGCCGCATTGTTTCTCAACAACTTCTGTGTGACCATATCAGGATCAGGAGCCTTGAGTAACTGTGCTGCTTGAACAGGCTATCGGTGTAGCGTTGGCAGCCATGTGTTCACTGTTGCTTGGGCTCAGTGAGAACTCTGTTTAATGTTCCGGCCCTCCAGTGTAGCTTAGACCGCCCCCAGGTCTCCTAACCCCTGCCATAGGTAAGGTAGCCGGAACCCATTCAAGCCATTCCATGAGTACAAACCGCGTGTATAATTGCCCACTCTGCCACTGAAGAGTCCAAGACTCACTAGTCGGTGCACGGTGCATTGCGGATACTATCCAATGGATATCGGAAGGGCATTGGCATGAGCCATCTCGTTGTGGTCTTGTCTGTTTACTCTATACTATTGGATTCACAGCTCCAGGCATGGCATAATCAATGCGACCAATCAGATGGAGGCGCCAGCTCATTGTTGGTGGCGATTACCTATTGCCAGGATGGACAAGTATGAGTTTCCCGCTACTACTCCGTACAGGAACGGGTGATATTCGCTGCAGCTTCAGATGAAAGCACAGTTGAGGCAGACAAAGGATGCGTCGATTTCATTGGAGGGGACTTGTCGAGCCGTGAGGCAGGCGGCAGCGAAGTCTGCAAAAGTTGAATTAGGGGATTGGCAAGACAGCGGGAAGAGATTTGTTCCTGCATTAGCGTCGCATTATGCCAGGGGAACTGACCAGTGAACGTGCCCACAATAGGAAGGCCATACCTTAGTCTATTGGACATTATACCTGGCGAAAGCAACGGGGTGGCTGCCTTGCACCCACGCGACAGTCCGTCCATGCTTCTCATTTGATCTTCATTTCTCTGAAGTCAAATCATTAGATCTTCGGAAACAGAAAATCCTTCGATAGGCACATACATACATACGCTTGAGACTTGTCGATCGATCATTCTGATCAAATTTGGGAACCCCTCTGACTACCTCGCAATATCTAAGTACATTTCAAACTCATTCA